CCATTTTTGAAACTTTATTACACAATACATGATAACAAGTTTACCATCAGTTTTACATAATCAACTAATAATGTTGTAAAGATACAGGAAATGTCAACCAAACACTTTAACATGTCTTATTAGTTAAATAATGAGACTGTTAACATGCCTAAGAATTGAATCTGAGGAAATGTGAAACAAGACAGCACTGTTCTGACATGGGTTTATTTCCATTTTTAACACTTTTTTTAACATAAATCAAAATAAAGTTTACTGCAATTTTTATATGATCAACTAAGAAAATTGATGAGATGGGGAAAACATCAATAGAATAGTGTTAAATGTCTAATTTCCTCCATTCTGAGATTCTGAACATAGTGAATGATTAAATCTGACAAATTGCAATGATATGAGTTTATTTCCATTTTTGACACTTTATTACACAATACATGATAACAAGTTTACCATCATTTTTACAAAATCAACTAACAATGTTGTAAAGATGCAGGAAATGTCAAACAAACACTTTTACGTATCTTATTAGTTCAATAATGAGACTGTTAACATGCCTAAGAGTTGAATCTGAGGAAATGTGAAAAAACAGCATAACTTCTAAAATAATGCCCCGATTATGCTGATTTTCGAACTCAACCTGCATTTTAGTAAGATTGACTACTCCTGTGAGTTTAATGACAATTGGCCAATCTGTTTTTCTTATTTTGTGTTTACAGTGTTGCATATATGCTGAAAAATGAAAAAAACAGCATAACTACTAAAACAGTGGCCCGATCGTGCTGATTTTCGAACTTGACCTGCGTTTTCATAGGACTGATTACTCCTGTGAGTTTCATGACAACAGGCCTAACAGTTTTCCTTAAAATGTGTTTACAGGGTTGCATATATGCTGAAAAAAGTGAAAAAACAGCATAACTTCCCTTAAAATGGCCCGATCATGCTGATTTTCGAACTTGACCTGCGTTTTATGAATATTCATCAGCTCTGTAAATATTAAGCCAAAAAGTAAAACTGCCCTCCACTTATCGTGTTTACAAGGAAAGTGCACGGCGCCGGCATCGGCATCGGCATCGGCATCGGCGACGACAGACGCAGGTGATGGCAATATGTACAGACACATCTGTGTCTGTACATAAAAAGCAGCAATTTATTGGTATAAGTTTTAAATAGATTCCAAACATACAAGACAATTTCTGATGCTGTATCTCCGTTTGTCACAATTATTTTCAATGCTGTTTTTTATTGCGAAGGGATAAAATTATATGCAGAACTTGAATAATTAAAAATGCAAAAAAGGGACCCTTTGATGTACGTTTGTTAAAACTTGGTATGTCATTTTGTATAACCAGTAATTATAGTTAAATTTCAAAACTGAATGTCTCTAGACTACTTTTTTAATGCATTTAGAATTTATACAACTAAAATACCCTTGTCTCAAAGTAGCTTTGCATTAATTTCCTAACAATTCTCACCAAAAGGCACTATCTTTCATCCCCATCATTCTCATTGCTTCTTTTGTCTTCTTTTCTTTTTCAGTTATCAAATACACAACTAAGCCAGATACAAAAGGGGAATAAGCCATCACAAAGAATATTCCAGACAGTATGCGGATGTAATCAGAATTAGGCGTGAATTTCATTTTGGGCATCATTTGAAACATCAAGTCTGGTTTGATGAAAGGTTGCCCAGCAGCTTCATTCTGTAAACACAAAAAATGTGCTTTGAAAATCAGACATCAGTTATATTCTGATTATTTACTTATGTCTTCTAGAAAAGAAAATTAAGTATACTTAAAATTCATTTCTTTGCAAAAAATAATATATACATGAAATCCGTATGCTAAATATAAAGTTGAAAAGGCACTTGTTGAATAGTAAAGTATATACCATAAACACATTGCTATAGCAACTTTGTACTTCAATTGTCTTACATGAAGAGATTTACCAGTTTTACTTCATTCACAATAAGTATACAAATCAAAACAATGGAGCTCAACTATTTCACAAAAAAATTGTACTCGCTCCAAAACATTTGTATGGTTATAGTACTTACCTTGACAATAGCCATATCTATTGCATGTTGAAGTAACACAAACCCAGTGTGCAAGTAGCTGTTGGCTGGACAATTAACACTTGTCAATCCTAATCCTCCTGTAGTAGAACGGCAGGCTGAAAAATCAAGTCATTGACAAATAACTTTGCAACTGATACCTTGCATCTGATCTCATGTAGCTTTAAGCATGTTAAGTACTATATTTCTAACATAAATATAAAAGTATCTTATATTCATATTAAAATACCAATACAAATTTATCTTCAGGGATAGACATTATATTTTCTTAATGAAAATATGTCCAACACCAAAATAAAAAATGAAGAATTATTTGAGGGAACAGCTTAAAATCTTTAGGAATATAACACAAAAATATTAAATCTGAAAGAAATAGACAAATTTTGAGTGACCAGTATAATATGACAATATTTCTTTTCATAAAGAATTTGGTAAGTAACTGGTAAGAAATTTTTATGAGTAATGTTTATTTCTGTTCAATAAGAGCAGGATATTTACAATTCAATCTACAGATACAGAACAAAAATTAATTAATAGTTTATAAATAATAAATTAATAATTCAAATAATAAGTTTATAGAAATACATTACAAAATCAACTCACTAGAACCACCAGAGACATCATAAATATCTTTTGTTGATGCAATATGCTCATAAGATGTTCGTATGGTATAAGTCGAATTGGAAGAGAAATGAACACCAGCAAAAACCACGCTGGCATTTGCCTTATAAAAATTCTCCATGGCCATCACGTCTTCAAACATCATGTACTGCAACCCTAAAGATGCTGCTGCTGTGCCTATGATATCTGAGACCTCTGTGGAGTTAGGTGAAATGAGTAAGGTCTTGTTGCGATTCGGAACAAGCGTTGTATTGAAATCATATTCAGGAAATTCCGGGATACTGGGATTGGATTCTGGAGTGCTTAGCCTTTTCACCAGAACAAGTAGAAGAACGAAGTAGACTGGGAAAAATATTTCCTGAAAGAAAATGACATCAATCAGAATAATCAGGGGGCTGCTTGCTTAAAAAGACAACAAAATTTTTTTATATCTTAAAATACATAGTTTTGAGTTTTTCACCTTGTTTCAAGAACACAATGCATCCTATACATGACCTTTTTTGTGAATAAAACAATAAAAAAGTAAACATACATAAGTTAAATAATAAAATAAGTGAATGGATGAGAAATACATGAATTAATGTGAACAAGCAAATGAATTAAAAAATGATAGAATGAATAAAGCTATAAACATTGACGTAAAGTTTCTTTACTTACCTGTATTGTTAACCCTTTAACTCTCAACTTTAAAAGAAAGTTCCTGTGTAATAGAGCTTTCAGCTGTTGCCAGAAGGTAGCTCCAGCCATTTCTAATTGATAGATAACCAAACACCTACAAATTAAAGTTAAAGTGTTGTTATTCCCTGTACTTATGCTATTAAAAATTTTAAGTACCCTGTTTTGATTGCAAAAATGAAAGATTAAGAATGACTTGATGGCTGCCTGAGTTTCTTCACTGCTCAACTTAACAAAATAAATAATGTCCCTAAAAACACTTCATTTACACAATTGTAAATCATTATCGCCAGCCAATTTTGTTCTGCTGAGGACACAGAGATAAGGAATCACGCGTGTTTGATAACAAATTGAGGTCAAAAGTTCCACTTAGCACATACCAGTACCTTTACATCTGGTTAAATACTTACATGTATATAACTCAGTATAATCTGTTTTAATGTGTTATATATTTGAGAAATCATGGCAAGCAGGAGGGCAGGGGTATATGCAGTGAATGACATTTGAATAAATATATTTCTGAAACAAGATAAATAATCAAATAATAGTCAGGCTGGTGTTCAAATGAGAGCTGTATTGTACATGTAGTCCTCAGAATAATTATTGAAATTAAGTATAACATGCAATATGGTTTTCCGTTCTATGGTGTTTAAATGACAGTGCATACAGTGTGAGTCAATGACTGAGTGTGTTTATCAAATTGAAGCAATATTACTATACATTATGCCTAACAGCATAATCACCACCAATTTTTTAAATTATATATACATGCACTACAGGTATTTTCATATTATTTTCTTAATATCCACATTAAATAAATTCTATATATATAGGGTGGGGCTTCAGATCCAAGGAAGATGAAAACCCACCATAAAAATGCCAATATAGGAAAATGAAAATTTCACACACACAAATAAATAAATAAATAAAAATATAACTTAAAGAATTAAAGAATAATCTGATCAGGTTAGTTTTTAAATTCAATCTGTGTGTTAGTCTTAAGAATCACTCTTTTTAGTTTGAGAATAGTAAATAACATTTTTCCTTTGATTGTGTCTATGGTGAAAATGCATGGCAACAACATCGACGATGACAGACACCAGCAATGTCTTCATGTACAAACACACTGTGTCCGTACATAAAAACAGTCATCATTTGTAATACTGTACATGTAGTAAACTGAATGATCTCCTAATAAGCATATGGAAGACAGGGAGTGGCATGATTAACTACAAAGCAACTAACAGCAAACCACACTACATGTACATCCAATGTTCCTGATCTCTGGTACAATGATATCATATCTGTATGCCCATTGAAACAAATATTCTAGATAATATTTCAATGAAACCATCTACAAAGTCTTCTAGAGGGTATATTTTTATAATTCATGAAAAATATTCTATAATATCTATGATAGAGCTCAAGAATTATAACTTGTCAAGTGTTCAAAACTGCAATAGAAGTAATCACCTAACACAACTGATCACCACAGAAAGTAGATTTTTGAAATACATTTTTAAAAATCATGTTATGAATGCAAAGACTTACAATCTGTATTTTTTGGCTTTCCAACTTCACGCAGCGTATATATATATATATTACTAAAGACACTTGGTTTACACAATACTAAATAGACTCTACCTTCAGTCAGATGACCATGCGTGTTCTGCTGAGGACAAAGAGATAAGGATTTGTCTGGTAACAAATCTAGACCAAAGTCATGCAAACAGTTACTGAGTACATGTACACTACAGGTACAATGTTTGTATACAAATCAACACACACACACACACACACACACACACACACACACACATATTGTGTTTGTTGGTTCAATATTTTAGATGGGAAGTCATTCTTATGGTTGGCATATGATGTAACACCAAAAAATTGTCTGATGGGTCATATTTATGACCACCAGATCTTCGGACAGGTGGTCATAAATTTGACCCATCTGACTTTGAATCCAACCTGTCCAACAAAACCAGTAATTCTTCTATTCATACTTGTCAGGGAATTTTATAAATCTACATGACGTGTAATCAAGAATATTTTAATTATCAAGATGTTCAATTCAAAATGGGCCCAGAAAATGCACCCTACATAGGATTTATTCTTGGGTAAAAAGTTTTTCATACCTGTGAAGTCCTGAAGATTTAATCTTCCATAGAATTTTCCATTTAAATCAATCATAAATATATGTAGGCTTGAAAATGCATATATTTATATCAAGCAAAAAGATATCATTTTTTAAGTAGAATCAATTCAGTAACCTACTGGTACCCTGTACTTCATTGACATTTTTTTTCCTTTTTGTAATTTTACTTATTTTTCCCCAAGAGTAAAGCACTGGGGCCGGTTTCACAAAGCAGTAGTTAGTTAGCGATCGGTAGTTAGCCTCTCGCTAGTTAGAGTGCCGTTTCACGAAGCAGTCGCTAGTTCTCTCGCTCGTTATTGTCTCGTTGTTGCCTTGGATATTTAACGACAGGTCAGACCAGTCGCTAGCTCTAGAGTTTCATCGTACGCATGCGTAATGAGTGAAATAAAAAGGTTGCTTAGTTACCGTTGTATGTCGTTTGTCTTTGTATCCAATATGGCGGCTACTTTTCTTGCTATCCGTACCGCCAGACGGCAACGTAGAGTACGACGTTTTCATGAAAGGCAGAATCTATTAGAATATACACACGATGATGCAATTTACGAGAGGTTGCGCCTAGCTGTGACAAAAAGAGCGGCAAAAAGGTGGTGGAGATCCTTTACGATGACCTCAAAGCAGACGTTCTTATGCATTTCCAGCCACCAAAAATTGGAGAGTTAGTGCTTTCGTGACACTTTTACGCAAGAGTTCCACTTCCGGCAGACGGTTTCGAGACTACAGTGAGTAACGAGAGAACTAACGACCGAACTTTACGACTGAACTTAGCGATGAGTTAACGACTGCTTCGTGAAACACCCCTCGAAAATCGCTAAGTTTGCTCGTTAGTGAGGTAGTTCAGTAGTTATTTGTTCTAACTAACTACTGCTTTGTGAAACCAGCCCCAGGATCTTTTAGATCCCACCTTTTTTTAAAATCAATCTTGTAATTTTTTATACTTGTACTTTAATTTAATAATAATAACAATAATAATAATAATAATAATAATAATAAATACAAAAAGGAAATTAAAAGGCACAATTCGAGCCCTACATGTATATTAAAGTATAATAATAAAAAATAATAACTGTACAAATATTATTACCAAAGATATGCTTAAACTGCTCACCTTAAAACGTTATGATCTTGGCATATTTCTATATTCTATGTTATAGTGCCTAGCATTCTTGCACAACTGGGAAATTTTTCTGTGGCTGATTCCATCAACAGTGAAGATATCATCTTACACATATATCTTACACACATTCCACTCGGAACTACTCAGATGTCTCCGCAATCGACTTGTATGGAGCTTGCGCAGGGGTCACAGACGATTGACACTGATTGACACACATCCTTATCACACCCAGACTGCGCGTGTAAAGTCGGCAACATTGAAAATTGACGGATTGGTAAGAATAATAGAATTTTTTTAAAAAAGAAAATTATCCTCTTCATAACTTATTAGATAAATATGAAATATGAACATTAGTTTTATTGATTTAACTTGAAGGTTATTTTGATCTAATTGAGTGTCAAACTTGAACTCGAGATACTATATATTAATGGCCGCGCTCCGTAAATTGGACGTCTCCAGACCCATTTAGATTTGACCATTTATTGCAGTGAGTACTACTGCTTATTTTTAACTTTAACAAATGTTATTGTGAATATTTATAAGATCTGTCTGCTTTACAAGTATTGATAGATTTTTTAAAAAGTGATTTGCTTTACTCATGTACTAATTTGACTTGGTCGCACTCGGGAGCGTTGTCGGCGATAGTCGGCATAGACCTTGTCTCAGTTTTGGATTACCATACTCCAATAATATTCACCGCAGTTGTATGACATCCTCTTGAGGTTATAAATATTCTGGTGAAACTGTGTATCCTCCGTCGCACCTTTTAGTTCGTTCACAGTAACTTAAAATCTTTTTTATTGGCTCACACACCAGTTTCCTTTCGTTTTAGTCTTTTAGTTCCAGCTATAGCAGGCAGCAGTGCTACATGTACCAGCCATTTGCAAATGACGCTACATATAGCATTGAAAGTTTTTAACCTTAGGTCAGGGGGTTATGACGCCTTACCAGCATGGCATCTAAGGTGGAAAACTAAGGCAGTAAAAGCTGTGAAGTCTAATTCATATCTGTTGTACTTTGATTATTTTACAGATAAATAGAATCATTTCACAAAGGAGATGTCTTTGGCAGATGAGTTACTCGCAGATCTTGAAGACATAGCAGATGAAGCTAACAGAGATGGTGATGAACAAGAAGATGAGGTTGAAGATGTGGAGGAAGTGGCAATGGAACTGGACTCCAAGCAGCAGTCAGTGAGAAGCATAGCAAAACTGAGAGACAGCAAAGAGGTCAGACTCTGTGGGATATTGATTGGAAGTCAGTCAGTCAGAAAGCAGAGATTGATTTTTGTATTATACTTTATAGATTATAATTCTCATTAAACTAATAGTACCAAATATGTTGCGGTGGATCATTTTTTTAAGGATGATGATTTGTTTTTATTTTGTCATATGTTATGTTCTCTGTAGAGTATTTGAATTATTAGTTTTGAAAATTATTATTCATTGAGGAAAGTTTTATTATATTTAAGCTTGCAAGTGTGATGTCACAGATAGAAAGATATCAGAATCAACCGAGAAGAGATGGGGGTATGCTTATGAAGTAGTTTATTCTCTATGAAATTGTTTTTTGCTCATTACTTAAAGCGTATTAAAAAAGTCTACCTTGATGTGATAACAGATAGCTTATTTGCAGGAGAACTTGCTCTTTCATCTGCATTCTAATGACCATAGAAATGATCGAATCAAGTAATTTCTCATAATTTTCTTTATATAAATTATTGAAAAATAAAAGAAATTGTGAAATTAACTTTCGGATTACATTTGTTCAATTTAAACTGTAGATAGTAAGCAAATTCATTTAAAATGAATATGTTTTTATGTACAGACACAGATGTGTCTGTACATACGGTAATATGCCAAACAATTCGACCAAGATTAATTAATTAATTTCATGGAAATGTCAGTTTGGTCGAATTGATTAAAATACAGCAAATGGAAACCTTTGATATCGTCGGATTGTTAGGGGCATCTGCCAAAACGTCCATCTTTCCGGAAGTATTGCATTTTACCGGAAGTGTTACGCAAGATAAGCCGCAATTTTCGCCTAACATGTGTTTCAGGCATGTTTTATCCTCCTGAAAACTTATTTTGCTGTGTACAATATGTGCTAACATTACTTAACATTAAAAAAGACGACAATTATAATTTTTAATTATACATTTCCCTCACCTACGATCACTTTCATGATGCGCTTCACAAGTTGGACGAGTATTTCCCCGGAGACAGGTGTTGTAAACAAAGGCCGGTCACTTACATTTGAAACCGGTAGCTTAAGTGGACTTTAACTAGTTATATGATCTACGTACGCCCTATTTGAATTTTAATATGACAACTGAAATCAACCGAATTGATATTTTTTACCAGTCTGAGATCAGATGTTTTCAACCCGCAAGGCTTGCATAGCGTCGAGGCGTAGACGTACGTACTTCCGAAGAAAATTCAATCACCCGTACCAAAGAATACCAACTGGTACTCAAACGGAAATCAGTGTAACTTCAAATTACTATTAAGTATTTTATTTAAAAAGCATGTCATATAAAAACATATTGAGTAAAGGCAAAATACGGAGCGTACCTGTGCCGATAGACATACAGTATTTTGCTGGCATTCTTCCGATTTTCTTACTTATATACTCTCGCTGTGCACAAACCACGGTGCATATTGAAAACCCCACTGATACAACCCGAACGTAAAAAAAGCATTTACTTGCCATAATTTTCACAAAACAGGTGCATTTATAATTTGANTGTGAGATGAGTACCAGGTCATCAGCATACATGAGGCAGCTTACAGGTTTGTTATTTAAATAGGCAGGGTCGTTTTCTTTATTAACATCGAAAATATTAGGTAGGTCGCTTAGGAAGAGATTGAAAAGGGAGGGACTTAATACACAGCCTTGTTTCACGCCTACCGTGGAATTTATGGGTTTGGTTAGTTTGTTGTTGCAGATAATAGAGAATTGAGTAGAGCTGTACATGCTATGGATTATATTTATAAATTTAGAACTAAAATTGGAAAGGATGAGTTTGTGGAGTAGGGCATTTCTCCAGACCGTGTCAAATGCTGAAGAGAAGTCAACAAAACAAACATAAAATTTGGATTTGGAGGCCTTGTTTATGTATTTGTCTATGAGGGTCTTTAAAGTTAGTAGATGGTCACTGGTACGGGCGCCTTTTGTAAAGCCAATTTGGTTTTCAGGTATAATGCGGTTCTTATAAATAAATTTGTTGATCCTACTGTTAAGAATTTGACAAAAAAGTTTACAAACATTACTTGAGATAGCAATGCCTCTATAGTTTTTGGGGTCTGTCCTATCTCCCTTTTTGTGGAGCATTGTTAGGGTACTAAGCCGCCAAGCTTCTGGGAAACAACCGCTTATGTATATGGCATTGAAAACTTTACATAAAACTGGAGCCAAGTAGTCTATTCCCTCTCTGAGTAGTTCGTTTGGGATACCATCCATACCTGGGGTTTTGTTATTTTTAAGCTTCTTGGCGGCAGTAGTGATTTCTTGTACAGTGAAAGAGAAGTCGACCTCATTAAATATAACTTCTCTATTTGATTTGAAAGAGTTTTCAATGCTGTTCTCAAAGTTGGGGTCTTTGTGGGGGATGTGTCGATTCATAAGTGTGTTAAAGTGGTCCCACCATTGCTTGGGGTCAATGGGATTAGAGGATGGCTGTTTTTTGGTACATAATTGATCAAATAATTTCCAGAAAGATTGTGGGTTTTCACTTTCAAGTTTTTCAATAGAATTATAGATTTTATCCCTAAAGTCATTACACTTTTTGTTCAGCATCTTTTTGTATTGTTTTCTTATTCTGTTTAGGTTATGAAGTAGGGAGACATTAGATGGGTTTTTACTTATCTGTCGTGACATGTGTTTTAGTTGCCTACCAAGTTCCCTGCAATCGTTATCATACCAAGGTTTACTGGGTTTGGTGGATTTCTTAGGTTTGGTGGGGGGCTTGTGTTTAATTCCTGCTTTTATGCCTAGGTCAGTTATGAGATGGTTTAGATCTGAGACACACTGCTGTATTCCGTTATTATCTGTTTGGAAGTCTACTGAAAGGAATTTGTTGATCCTATCAATACTGTGGGGCAGAGCCAGGCATTTTAACCAGAGATTACGTGAGTGACTGTTCCAATAAAACCTCCCAGGAGCATTCATAGAGACATCGTTATCAAGTGTGGGAGCAGGGTGCATAGGTATGCGGATTCTGAGGACACAAGAGATCATACAGTGGATCGAGAAGGGGGATAAGTTGTGTACCCTAAAATATTCTACTTGATCTAGCAAACTATAGTGACACAACATATAATCAATGACACTAGGTAGACCCCTATGATTATAACAAGTATAATAGCCAGCTGTGTCCCCTAACTTTCTACCGTTAACAATACGTAATCCACTACTTTTACACAAGTCTAAAAGTTTTTTTCCATATGTGTCTACTTCATGACAATCCATACTATTCCTTGGCAAATATACATCACTTATATAATTACAGCCTACACTAATGTGATCAGAACTATCATCTACTAAGAAATCTGCCCTGGTGTTTGTTTTTGCATTGAAGTCACCAAGGATGAGGCATTTACCTAAAGTGTCAAATTTGGCAATATCTTTCTCTAATAGCTGAAAGATATCATCTCTTTGGCTGCTGAAAGAGCTACTTAGCGGACTAATATAAACACAGCAGATAAATAAATCTTCTTGGAAATTAAAGAATGATTTGTTAAGTTTGAGCCACATGAATTCACTATTGGAGGGCTTTAGGAAGCTGATTCCTTTTAATAGATTATTTCTGACTCCCACTGCTAAACCCCCAAATGCCTTAGGGGCCTTGGGGGATTTAGGTCTCACATTCATTTCGATATGAAACCCATCTAAGTAAATATTATCGGATTGTTTGCAGTGGGTTTCTACCAGGCAGAATATGTCCATTTGTGAGATGGCCTGAGTGAATTCAGTTAGCTCAATCTTAGAAATCTTTTCATTTCCAACCCTTGTGAAGAGCCCGTCGACATTCCAGGCTCCTATTTTCAGCTGGCTTTGATATAACGATGACATACTGATTAACACAACGGTAAAACAATAAGTATATATGTACACGTAAGTAGTAGACCGGAGTGATAAATGGTGATAATAAAGCATCATTAACTAGGTAGCTATATCCTTAAAAAAAAAAAAAAAAAAAAAAAAAAAAAAAAAAAAAAAAAAACATATATATATATATATATATATATATAACTTACCTAATTAACATAGATAAAATAGGATAGAATGATAAATAGAAACAAAAGTACTAAGGGTAACTTAACAGAGTTATCTTAGTGTAGTTTGTGTTTTAACACTGCCTCTATTTTCCTGCGTAGGTTAGAGGCTAGAAGGCTAGTGCCTTCATGTGACAGATGGTAGCCATCTGGAGCTAAAAGGTGTTCTTGTATCATGCCTCTTCTTAAAAAGTTACCATTGTCACAATAATGTAGGTTGGTAATGCCTGAGGCTAGGATATCGTGTCTGATTATAGCATTACAAATTTCAGTGCTAGTGTTTAAATTGCGGTCATCTGTTCTTGGAGTGCCCAGTGATACAATAACATTGGTGTCAGGGTTGGTCTTGGCATATGTGGTTGCTGTTTGTACTAGCATGTTTGCTACTGCTGCAGGGGAGTTGTTGTTAATGTCATTGGTGATTTCATGTATCACTAGTGCACTGGGCTTGTGATCCAGATTTTGTAACACGGAATCTGCCTCAGGGATTGTATAAGCTGGTGTGATATTCACTTCTTCTGCCCAGGGTACTAAGCGTTTCCCCTGAATGTGTTTAGTATGAGAGTTACCAATCACATTTACATTAACTTTGGTTGAATGTTGCAGAGTGGGTTTGTCTTTTGGTTTCTGTGAATGAGATCTTTCCGAGTTTCTAGAGTTCCTTTTTGGTGAATTTTGTTGTTTTGTGTAGGATGTAGGTTGAGGAGTATTTGAAGGGATCCTAGTGGGACGTGCAGGAGTATGGGAGTGAGGAACGCGTTGAGAGGTGCTCGGAGCTGGCTCTGGCGTGGTGACATCTCTGTTATTCTGGGTTGTTTTGTATCCAGGTGAAGTGGCGATGACTGTGGGTCTGCGTGTGATAGCTGTGCCTTGGGTGGGAGTACCTGGAGTACCTTGAGTTCCCTTACTTGCGCTGGTATTTGATACTACATCAGAGAAGAGTATGGGTGTGGGAGTCTTAGTGTGGATATCAGGAGTGGGGAGATCTGTAGTCTGACAAACAGCTGAGCACATCTCTGGTATGCATTGTACTGAGGTGTGTGTGACAGAGACAGGCTGTTGATTATGGGCTGCAGTGAACTCAGTCCATATTCCAGTGCGTTTCAGTTCATATGTTTCTTCTTTGGCTGTTGTTAGGGCTTTTTGCACAGTGTGTAGCTGATTGTATAAGCTGCTGATCAGAGAATCTTTTTCTTTAATGATGCTGTCTTTTCTCTCAATAAGGTCTAATTTGTTGTGAAGATTTTCAATTTTATTTAGGAGCTCGCCCTTCTCAGATTTC